CTACCGGGGAGATGGAATCACTGGTAACAAGTTACCTACCTTCTACCGGGGAGATGGAATCACTGGGTAACAAGTTGACCTACCCCACCGGGAGATGGAATCACTGGGTAACAAGTTACCTACCTTCTACCGGGAAATGGAATCACTGGGTAACAAGTTACCTACCTTCTAACTGAGATGGAATCACTGGGTAACAAGTTACCTACCTTTCACCGGGAGATGGAATCACTGGGGTAACAAGTTACCTACCTTCCACCGGGAGATGGAATCACTGGGTAACAAGATACCTACCTTCTGGGAAATGGAATCTGGTAACAACAAGTTACCTACCTTCTACCGGGGAGATGGAATCACTGGGTAACAAGTTACCTACCTTCTACCGGGAGATGGAATCACTGGGTAACAAGTTACCTACCTTCTACCGGGAATGGAATCCACTGGGTAACAAGTTACTCACCTTCTACCGGGAGGCGAATCACTGGCAACAAGTTACCTACCTTCTACCTAGATGGAACACTGGCACAGCTACCCACCTCTACTGGGAATGGAATCATCAAATGTTACCTACCTTCTACCGGGAGATGGAATCACTGGGTAAATGTTACCCACCTTCTACCGGGAAATGGAATCACTGGCAACAAGTTACCCACCTTCACCGGGAGATGGAACTCAGAAATAAGTTACCCACCTCTAATGGGAGATGGAATCACTGGGTAACAAGTTACCCACCACCGGGAGATGGAATCACTAAATAAGTTACCTACCTTCTACCGTAGTTGGAATCACGGTAACAAGTTACCTACCGTCTACCGGGGAGATGGAATCACTGGGTAAATGCTTGGTTATCTATACAGGAGATGGAATCACTGCAATGTTACCCACTTTCAACGGGAATGAACCTGGCAAAGGTTACCTACCTTCTACCGGAGAGATGGAATCACTGGAAATGTTACCTCACTTTCTACCGGAATGGAATCACTGGTAACAAGTTACCCATCTTCTACCGGGGAAATGGAATCACTGGGTAAATGTTACCCACCTTCTACCGGGGAGATGGAATCACTGGGTAACAAGTTGCTGACCTTTTCACCGGGGAGATGAAGCACTTACTAAGCGGGGTGCTACCTTCACCGGAATGGAATCACTGGGTAACAAGTTACCTACCTTCTACCGGGAGATGGAACACTGGGTAACAAGTTACCTACCTTCTCTACCGAATAATTCACTGGGTAACAAGTTACCTACCTTCACCGGGAGATGTGGAACTGTCGGGGCAAATGCTACCACCTTCTACCGAAATGGAATCACTGGGTAACAAGCACCACCTTCACCGAGATGGAATCACTGGGTAACAAGTTACCTACCTTCTACCGGGGAGATGGAATCAGTCAACAAGTTACCTACCTTCTACCGAAATGAATCACCAAATGTTACCTACCTTCTAATCGGGAGATGAATCCACTGGTGTCAAGTTACCTACCTTCTACCGGGAAATGGAATACTGAAAATGTTATCACCTTCACCGTGAGATAACCACTGGGCAAATGTTACCTACCTTCACCGGGAAATGGAATCACTGCAAATGTTACCTACCTCTAACGAGATGGAACCACCGGGTAAATGTCACCTACCTTCACCGAAATGGAATCACCACAAGTTACCTACCCTTCTACCGTAAAATGGAATCACCGGGTAACAAGTTACCTACCTTTCACCGAGATGGAATCACTGGGTAACAAGTTACCTACCTTCTACCGAAATGGAATCACTGGGTAACAAGCGCACCACTTCACTCGGGAGATGGAATCACTGGGTAACAAGTTACCCATCACCGGGAAATGGAATCACTTGGGTAACAAGTTACCTACCTTCTACCGGGAGATGGAATCACTGGGCAACAAGTTACCTACCTTCTACCGGGGAAATGTGGAATCACTGGGTAACAAGTTACCTACCTTTCACCGAGAGAGAATCACTGCAACAGTACCTACCTCACCGGGAAATGGAATCATTGGGTAACAAGTTACCTACCTTTCACCGGGAGATGGAATCACTGGGTAACAAGTTACCTACCTTCTACCGTAATGAATCACTGGGTAACAAGTTACCTACCTTTCTACCGGGGAGATGGAATCACTGCAACAAGTTACCTACCTTCTACCGGGGAAATGGAATCACTGGGTAACAAGTTACCTACCTTCTACCGGGGAAATGGAATCACTGGGTAACAAGTTACCTACCTTCTACCGGGGAGATGGAATCACTGGGTAACAAGTTACCTACCTTCTACCGGGGAGATGGAATCACTGGGTAACAAGTTACCTACCTTCTACCGGGGAAATGGAATCACTGGGTAACAAGTACCTACCTTCTACCTTCACTACAAGTTGAAATGGAATCACTGGGTAACAAGTTACCTACCTTCTACCGGGAAATGGAATCACTGGGTAACAAGTTACCTACCTTCTACCGGGGAAATGGAATCACTGGGTAACAAGTTACTTACCTTCTACTGGGGAAATGGAATCACTGGGTAACAAGTTACCTACCTTCTACCGGGGAAATGGAATCACTGGGTAACAAGTTACCTACCTTCTACCGGGGAAATGGAATCACTGGGTAACAAGTTACCTACCTTCTACCGGGGAAATGGAATCACTGGGTAACAAGTTACCTACCTTCTACCGGGGAAATGGAATCACTGGGTAACAAGTTACCTACCTTCTACCGGGGAAATGGAATCACTGGGTAACAAGTTACCTACCTTCTACCGGGGAAATGGAATCACTGGGTAACAAGTTACCTACCTTCTACCGGGGAAATGGAATCACTGGGTAACAAGTTACCTACCTTCTACCGGGGAAATGGAATCACTGGGTAACAAGTTACCTACCTTCTACCGGGGAAATGGAATCACTGGGTAACAAGTTACCTACCTTCTACCGGGGAAATGGAATCACTGGGTAACAAGTTACCTACCTTCTACCGGGGAAATGGAATCACTGGGTAACAAGTTACCTACCTTCTACCGGGGAAATGGAATCACTGGGTAACAAGTTACCTGCCTTCTACCGGGGAAATGGAATCACTGGGTAACAAGTTACCTACCTTCTACCGGGGAAATGGAATCACTGGGTAACAAGTTAAGGAGTGTAGGCCATTGTAATGGTTTTGCAGGGAGCTACTGTGGATGGACGAAATCCTGCACCACTTGGAAACCATGGGAAACCATTGTTTATTCGTATTTACGCGGGATTCATCATTCCAAGGTTTCTTGGATGGTGCAGGATTTCGTCCATCCACAGTATGATAGGAGATTTGACACGGATTTGGAGCATTTACCCGGGAAATGGAATCACAAAATGGAAGACAGGGTTCCACTTCTCCACTTTTGACTACCACAAGGTATTTAAGCCTAGGGGCCCCCCTTTTGGGGAAACAAACCACCAAAAGGGTTTAAATCTACCTTGGGGTAGTCAAACAAATGGAACCGAGAAAAAGCCCTGATTTGTTGGTCTTGCTCGACCTCTTGCCTTCGGAGTTGTGAACGGATGAAAGGGAGTGGATCACTCAAATGGGTTTCATGCAGCCAATTTGGGCGGCTCATTTGTTTCTAGTTGGAACCCCCTTTTGTTTGGTTGTAAGGGGGCACCAATTCGGGGACCTCCCCTAAAAAAAGACACACCCATATCTGGGTTCTTCTGGGATATGCACCCAAAAACCTCCGAAACCATGGTTGAATTCAATGGAAATCGGGGTTGTGTTATAAGCCAAGCTACCAATAACTTACGGGATTGAACACCCAAGTAGGTTTGGGGAACTTTTGAAGCAGTGCTGCAGGGTTCTAAGCATATTTGGAAAACACAAATACGTTCTGTTTGAGTCAGGGATTGCCCTCATACCCTAGGAAAGCAGGGGTATCTGGAGTACGGGGGTGCACTCAACTTGATTTTGCCCGTCCTGGTGCCTCCGCCAGCCAAACGCCAACATAACCTAGCACGCGATTCGACTTTGCACTGCTGTGAGCCTGGGGATGTTTTGCAAAATAGGGTGACACTGTGGATGGACGAAATCCTGCACCACTTGGAAACCATGAGAAACCATTGTTCATTGGGTATTCACAGGGGATTTATCATTCCAGGGTTTCTTAGGCGGTGCGAAATGGATTGCGTCCATCCACAGCAGTGGCATGTTGTGCCTTTTAATGGTTGGTCATCTCTTGGGTTTCAATGGAAGCCGAACCAAAACACTCTTGGAGGGTCCTTACTACCCTGCACAACGTGGAACCCGAAGAGGGGGCCCCAAACACATGGGCTATGAAGATCAATGGGCTTCCCTCCCTAAGTGGCTGGACATCAATCGAGACCCGAATTCTGTCCGCCGAAGGGTCCCCAATGAAACTCACCAACCAACCAACCAACCAGCCAACCAACCAACCAACCAATCAACCGAACACACAAAAGTGAAACTAGTCGCTTCCACTACCAGACCAACCTCAAAACACGCAGTGAGTCGAACCACCCCACACACACACACAAAAAAAAAAGCCGAACACCTTGGGAGTTGGGCGGCTTGGCAAGGAATCGGGAACCAAACTCAGCTTCCCTCCAGTCGGTGGTTTGGAGCCGAACCGGTGGTTTCGTGGTTCAGGAGGGGTAAAGGTTGCCCTCTACAGGAAGGTTCAAATCCCTCACCACCAATCCAAACCACCAATTAGGGGCTACGTGACCAAAGTTGGAATTCTCGGTGTCCCGAAGGAGTTTCCCGAAGATTTGAAGAAAAAAAAGCAGCCGCAAAATGGGAGCCGAGCCCTCGAACATAGACACGTTTACAGGGAGTTCATTGTTTCAGATTGCCCGGATGAAAGAGGACAATGGCACTCCCCCCCAAACCCGTGGCAAAGAATCACAAGGGCAAACATATGGCTGGAACGGAAGTCCTCTACTTACCGTCATCTTGGTGTTTCTTGGGCCTAGAGGTTCAACCTACCATGGCAGGGTAAGCAGCTTGTTTAACCTCTAGGCGTTGCCTTTAGGCATCTTTATCTTTACGCAAATGCATGTGTTTCTTGCAACCACCCTTAAACAGAGCCCGCCATGTGTCATTCTCTCGCCCCGAACCCCTCAAAGGCAATGGATCGATTCAATCGAAACGAGAGGCTCCGGCCCTCCCTTTTTCGAAAGCGATCGATTCTATGGGGTGCTGGTTGGTTGAAAGGGAAAACAGGAAACCATTTTAGGGGGGGGCCAAATCCCTTTGAGACATACCCTCCCAGTGGGTTTGTGCACAGAATATTCTGTAGAAAGACTCCTTTCCTCTTGGTTACTTGGCCTTTTTGCACTTAGCCATGTTAGTTGGTGGGTACCCAATAGAACCCACCACCAAATTAAACTCTGGGCAGATCTTCCCTCGCCTCGCGGCCTCCCACCCCGGCAAACGTGAGGCTCGCGCCATTATCGTGGGCGGAGAAGAGCTTCCTGGGTCGAATCGGGGGGCGGGGGGTTCCAGAAACGGGAAGCCCGACTTGGGTGTTCGATTCGCCTTGGTTATAACTCACAAGTCCTGTGGCTCAAAATTTCAAGAGCTACACATATTTTAGCCTTTGGTTCCATTTGCCAAGGTGCCATGTTGGGTGCCATGTTTCGGAGCCACAGCCATGATTTATAAGGAAATCACCAGTTGGATGGTGTACGGGGGTCATTTCTCATCCCTTACTTGGGTGTTCGATTCGCCGACTTAGTAAGCTGCGTAGCATTCGGTTGTAACGCACTCAGAAGTCCCCCTCTCTGTGGAAATAACCCTGTTAGTGGGTTGGCAAACCACTTACTGACTTAGCGAATCGAACATCCAAGTATCCCAAATGGCTAGCCCTAGGCTTCAAAGACTGACCGGAGCGAAAATTTGGAGGACCATCCTGAACGGCAAGCAATCCCTCTACTCCAAATAGCTACGTTGTCATGTCGACCCTGGGAATTGAACTGTTACCCATGGGAATCCAGGCTTCTCCCGCCGCCCCCCCCCCCCCAAAAAAAAAACAACAACTCACACACACACACACACATGAAATGGAAGGATGCCCCCCCCCCCCCCCGAAAAAAATAAAATAAAAAATAAAAATGCCAACTCAAAAAAGAGCAGTTCTTGGAGCCCCAGGGCACCTCTTGTATTCGAGAACCCCGCATTGCAGCCCTTGAAGCCATCCACAAGGGGTCCAAAAGCCCTGCGGATGGACTACCCATCCAGGGCACCCGGTGGGATGGTTGTTTTTTGTTCCCCCTACATGAAACCCTACAAATAGAAAGCTGATAAACCACCTACCAGCTGGTGCAGATGTTTCCTCCATCCACAGTTTTGTTGAAACCTAATCCAAGGAGCATTGAGCCTTCCACCAATCGCAGCATCCCACATGTGCTGGCCTCCCTCCGGCAATGGAAGCTGACAAGAGGATTTTGGAAGACGAATGTTTGGAGGTACTCCCTTGTCCACTTCCATGATTGGAACAAGAGTGGAGGACACGATTGCTTTCGCCATTTTTGGGAGGTTCAATCCTTTTCTGTGAGACCCAGGGGTAACGGTGTTTTTTTCCTAGGGCTGGTTAGGGCTGGCAACATCCCTTGCATCACCAGCATCACTTGGACCTGGGGTTGCCTGTTGGCTCTGATTGGGAGGACACCGTTGTGTTTGCCATTTTCGGGGAGGTTCGATCTTTTCGTTGACACCCAGGTACGTTCCAAAAGCCGATGGTCCGAAGTCTTTTCAGAGACGTATCCCCATGCGTCAGTCAGACAAGGCTTCCGGTGCGGCAACAGGCGGGATGCAAAACACCCAAAGAAAAACGCCTTAACAGAATCGCAAGGAGTCAACCCCTATCAACAGAATGGCGCCCCATTTACGCAAACATGGGTTTTGGCGTATCAATCCGCATAGTTTTAATGATTTTAATGGTAACCTCAGACGCCCAGTGGCCATGGAGAAAAAAAATAAGAAACGGCAACTTTTGTTGCTGGTTGAGTTTAAAGGAATCGGAACCCTCACCCATAAAAAAGTTGAGAAAAGGAAGCAACCCACTGGGCAACAGAGTAACTGAATCCCAGGAGAAAAGAAGACACCGATGGTCATGTCAATCCGCATAGCTTTCACGATTTGAATGACTTTTATGAATCCCATGAGGAAAACAATATCAATCCGCACAGTGGTCATATCAACCCGCATACTTCCAACGAGTTTTAATGATTTTAATGAATCCCAGGAGAAAAAGAAGACGCCGCTTGGGGCTCCCACGGCTTTCCGCCTCTGCCCCACTGCAAGTCGTTAGCTTTGCCAGGCAGATCCTGATCGCATCGATCGATGCGGCGAGCGGCCGGTGGCGGCGCCCAACTGAAACCCTGGGAAACAGCTCTGCCACCATGAAAGCAACGGAAGTTAACATCACCGCCATTGTTTACCTGAGGATTGTCATCTAAACTGGGTCCCAAGGGCATTCTTTTAATCTAGGGTAGGCACCCCGCCCAGCTTGCTTTTTGACAACCGAGTGAAGTCTTTGTCTTGGGGTCCTTGCTTGGCATGCAGAAGCCCTCTCTGCGGGTTTTGGGCAGAGGCGCAGTCAAAAACGAGCTGGGCCTTACACCCGGCTACCTCAACCCGTTGTGATCCAAAGCGCATCGGCAATCGGGCCATGCCCCCCCACCAAAAATCATGAAAAACGGGGGGAGCTTCGTCGAAAAACCTGGTGGCAAAAAAACGATGCATGCCTCTGTGCAATCATATGACTTGATTTATGAAACCCAATTTCAGGACAGAACTTAAATCTAGAATTTGATTTCCAAAGATATGGCAAAGTATAGTTGATACGCCCGACCGACGCACGGATGTGTCACTCCGACAGGTAGCCGGAAGCAACATCTTCCGGCTTTCACCCAGCTTTCCAAAACTGAGACCCCCCCGCCAGCAATTGAGTGATCTGCTTTGACACCTATATGCCCTGAATTTCAGGCAGCGCCATAAAGACAATGGGAGTCGTTATATTGTATAACCACCATTTACCGTTCAGGATGGTCAGTCCTTCAATCGCAACATCCGAAACGGGTCACACGAAAGACCAGCCAGAGAAAAAATGGTATTTGGAGGGTTGGCCAATCCATAATCCCTGTAGAAAAAGACTGCAACTATGACCCTTTACCTGACCCAAAGCAAGGATCAAGGATTGCCTTTGAACAACACAGCAAAAGGTGATGCTCACAATCAACCGCATAGTGACATCTAGGGAGTCCAACAAAGAATCAATCACTGACCTAATGTTTAAGGGACCATATGGGCGTGTGTTGTTCTGAGGGTACCCGTTTTTGTGGTTCTGAAGTGAAACCAAAAGGAACACCGACATCCATGTTGGGGAGTCCAAAGCCTAAAAAACGAGAAGCACACCTATATCAGGGTTCCGGTGGGATGCATCCCAAATAGATATATATATATATATACATCGAAACCAAAGTTCGATTGAAATCAGCTCAGCTAAACGATGTCGATGGATTGTCTCCGGAGAGCTTCTCAAACTTTGGTTTGGAGGGTAAACCCAAAGAAAAATACGAGACCCAAAGGAGAATGCTCCAATTTTGCAAGTACCCCGTTTGGTTTGAGGCAAACCCTGGCTGCGAAACGACCTTTCTTTGATACGGCAGCTCAAGCTAAACCTCTACAATTAACTTCCCCATTATTTCCAGGGATTCTTCTTTCTAGAAAACCACCCCAAAAGCCCCGGGGGAAATGACGATCGGTTTTTGAAAAGAACGATGGCTGAAAAGAATGGAAAAGGAATCAACCCCTAGAGACATGGGAAAAAGCAACCACCCAGCCTCAAAACCAGGGTTATTCCCTACTGATCAGGTTGGAATCAACCCCTAGAAAACCATCTGAACATATGAGTGTGTCCTAGGGGAACCCCCAAAAGTGGGTGGTGGGGGTCCTTTTGGTTTCCCTTTCTTTGACAAGGCAGCTCAACCTAAACCAAGTTCCCTGAGCTCAAACGCCCCTCCTTGATCTCGAAGAGCTGCTTCGTCTCCCCGCTCGCCAGCGCATGCCACACCGCGATGACCGCAGGTTTTGACCTGGAAGCATGGCTTTCGGAGTTGGTGCGTTCACTCTTTTCTGGGGCCTCACCTGTGCCCGGCCATTGACCCAAAGAATCTGACTGCATGCTGCCTAGAGTTCCAGGGGTTGATACCTCTTCCATTATTTTCAATCATCGTTCTTTTCTCAAAAACCGATCGCCGTGAATGAAGGATCCCTGGAAAGAATGGGGAAGGTACTCCTAGATCTTTGCTAGGTCCTCCGGAGTCTATTTTAGTAGGGGAACCGTTACCTCCCTCAAAAAAAGGTAAAAGGGCACTACTGGGGGACCTAGTGAGGGTTCCTCTCCAAAATAGCAAATGCCACAAAATTTCAGGTGTCCTTTTGGTGTCCTTTTTTGGGATAGCCTAAGAAAAGACAGACCTCTTTGGGTTTGGGAATATGTTTGGACGCCTGTATCTTGTGTTTACGCACCTGCTTTTGTTGACCCTGGGCCTGACTGTTGTTCACCCCTGAACCTGTTTGTGTTGACCCTTGATTGGAAGAGAAAAAAACAAACGATGTCAAGGCGCGCGTACGCGCGCACGCGCGCGCGCAGAAACGATTTTGTTGGAACCAAGATTGGAAGCCGTGAAAATGCAGCTGCAAAGCACGTGGCTGTTAGGTGAGTTTCCACACCCTTCCCACCATAAATCTCAAAGAATCTCGGGACCTTTTGAGGTCCAAAACCTTGCAATGGAGCTCCCCTGCTTTTCCGCGGCTTTCTAAAAAGACAAATCCGGATCTGAGCCAAGGAAGTGGCGTTTTGAGGACCACCTAGAAGGGCGTTTCGATGCCACTCGCTTCTGATCCAGTGAACGCTTGGTTCAAATAAAAGGGCGACCCGAACAGCGACGCAAGCCACAAACGGAGCTCGGGGAGTCGAAGCACAGATGTTGATGGGCTACCCCCTTGACACCAAGAGGGTGCCATATGCCAACCTCTCGCCGGCTGGAAGACGTAAAAAGACACGATGTTGGGTGTTTTTTGGACACCGCCGAAGCGCCATTTTGGGAGGGGCAAAAAAATCCTGAAAGACCGCCCGGAGTTGATCTCTCGCTGCCGAAATATCAGTCGCTGGCCCCGATCCAATGGCATGCTGGGTCCGTGTGACAAAAGCCTGGCCAACAAAACGGCTGGAGCGGGTAAGATCGAAGACTCCCTGAAAAACCAACCTGGCCACTAACCAATGCTCCTGAAGGTTCCTTTAAAACCAACCAAACAGAGGGTACCCTCAAACACGACAGACCCGCTGTGAGCAACCCGATTTGTGTCGAGGCTTCCCCCAATCGTCGAGGCTTCCGTTACCCGAGGAGCCCCTTGGACCTCATTGCTTGGGCTTCAAGGGGGGTCAAGGCCCTCATGGGGTCCAAGGGGCTCCGAGGTGTCAACCCTTCACTAAAAAAAGAAGATATGTCTAAGTGTTGTCAACCCTTTACTTATATATATAGTATTTCCCATGGACCGCTGGAAAGCCTCTCACAGAGTGTCCAATCTTCCGGGCCGCCCAGTTATCTCTATGATCTAGATTTCGAGGGGCCGGGTGATGTTTCGCTTTTTCGATCCGAGGTTGGCAGTGGGCTCCCCACATTTCATCCAGCTGAAAAACTAAGGCTCTAAGGAAGCGGATGGCTGGGCTTATGAAGGCTTGGATTGATCCTTCCATGTCCCTGGATCAACCCCGTGATCCCGCCACCCTGCATTAAACCAAAGGCTTCCCCAAATGGATGTGGCGGATTGGTATCATGCTTAAATGCCCAGCAAACCAGCCAAAAAGCTACGGGTTTCTCATCTCGCATCGGTTTCGAGCAAGCTCACAAGCAGGGTTGTGGGAAATGACCACTTCTGTGATACAACAAAAAGGGCTTCCCAAAGACTAACACCCCATATACAGGGGGAGATTCCCTTAAGTATCACAGAAGTGGTTGTTTATAAACCCCGAATGATTCCACAACCCTCACAAGGAGCCGGATGGCCAGGGCCATGCGGTTAAGGCTTCCCCCCGCTTGACGGCGCATCCGAAGTTCGGGGAGCCCCTGCCCCAGCTTCTCAGAGGCGCTCGCGAAGCGCCGCCCCTCCGCTCCCTCGCAGAAGCGAAGCGGGGCGTCGTGGTCGCGAGGGACGAGGTTTTCCGGCCCGCTGCTTGTTGCGTGTTAGTTTGCTTGGGTTTGTTTGTTTTTGTTTGTTTGTTTCTTTACTGTTTATTAATGCATATGGGGGGGGCTCATTTTGGTGCTGGTTTTTTGGGGAAAACAAAATGAAACAACTGCTTTGCGGGCCTGGAAAGAACGGTTCAAAGGCCATGTTTCCACATAGTTCAACGGCCTTCTCATTGGAGGTATGGCAAATGAGGTGCCACTTGCGCGTATACCACGTTCTGCTGCTTCGATTCACGAATTCACCGAATACCGCTTCCTCTGGCCTTTTCAAGGTATGAAACGGATTTGATGCTTTGCAGGGGTACTGTAGCAATGAGGACAACCACAAGTGAGGTGTCCGAATCGGGCCCCAGGTCATCACATCGACAACTCGGAGGAACCACAGACTTGGATCACCAGGAGATGAGCAGAGGAACAGCAAAAAATAAAAACGAGAGCACGCACGTCAAATCACCCAAAACCAACAAAAACGGAACTTCGCGGGCCGGCTTGTGTTTGCGCCCTTCGCTTGGCATCTGGGCGCTAAACGGGCTTTGTGGAAAAAAAAACTCAGGCTGACTGTATGAAGCCATGTACGAACCCATAAGCCTTTAGACCTGTTTAGTGTTTGTCTCACATAATTAGATCACAATTAGTCAATAATTGAGCGACAACTAGGGGTTGATAGCAGGGGTTCATATTATGGGTGCATACATTTCGCCTCTATAAAGCGATTTCTCCATCCCCGTGGTTCCTTTCGCGTGTGCGTTCTCGTTTTATGTGGCTATGAATTCTAAGAGTCGGACCCACCTCAGCGTTTGGCGGACGTGAATTCGGGACCCATCGAATTTCCGATGTCCACCATGTCGTGTCCTTTTGGACCCGTATGGGTGTGTCTGTTTTGTGTGGTGGAACCCCCAAAATGGTGGTTGTCCTTTTGGTTTTCCTTTCAAACTAAGACCAACCAAAAAGGAACGCCCCAACTAGTACATGTCCTTTTGGTTTTCCCTTAAAACCAACCAAAACGGGGGGCTCCCTCAAGAGAAAGACACGCCCGTATCTCCTAAGCCCATGTAGCCCCCCATGTCCCCCCTCTCGGCGGCCTCCTCAGAGGGGCACCATCGCAGGACCCTGCCAAAGCGAGCCCGGGGTTTCCCGAAGGCGGCGCTGCGTGGGCCAATGGGGCACGGGGTGATTCAATTGATCAATAGTCCCCTTCGACCTGCAAATGACCATGGTAACGTTTCCCCACCATCCCAAGTATCACGGACCTTTTGAGCAACCACCTGTCCAAACGTTTGGGCTTCCCGCAGCGGACCGAAAGCGGGGTTGAACAACTTGGTCCTATGCACATCACCTGCTCCTGAGCAAGGAGGGGTCAACGGGAACCAGGAGACTCAAGGAAATCAACTAGTGGTTGTTTCAATCCATGGGTATGTGTCCAAAAAGGGAACCCCTCTTGAAAAAAAAGTGTCCTCTGAGTTTCCCTGCAAAACCCACCTCAAAAAGACGGCTCCCTCCGAAAAAAAGACGAGCCACCCACAGTCTCCCCAAGCTCCGCAGCCGATTCCGGCGATTCCGCCTCACGCGGCCTCCGTGCTCCAAGGTGCTCTTGGGCGAGGTGACGCTCATGGGCGCGAGCCGCGAGGGATCGCCCTGGTCAACGTGCGACGCGTGAAATGCCCTCCTGCTTTGTTTGTTGAGAAAAAACAACCTGGTTGTTCATGCTCCTTTTGAGTGAGGGGATGACATGCAGAAAATCTGGGAGTATGGGGGTAGTGTGCAGATTGACTGACCTACCGGGCGGGGCCTACCAGCGGGGTCGCCCCTAGCGTCCTACATGGGACCGGCCCCCTACTCTCCAAAGACCCGCCAATTGTTTTGTTGGTATATTTGTGTTGAACACCTGGGGTTGCTCATGCTCCTTTTGAGTCAGGGGATGACATGCAGAGGATCTTGGGAGCAGGGGGGGTAGTAGGCAGACTAAAACCTGAACCAAAAAAACACTGCCAAAAAAACTGCCCCTTAACACGAGCCCCAAAAAAACACACTGCCCCGAAAGCCCTGACTCCTCCAAAAGTTAAGGGCTTTTGGGGGGTTCCATGTGGATCTGCGGAAAGTGTGCGTCGATCTGCGGACGGAAAGACCTACGATCTAAGGCAGGGGGGTATCCGCTTCGGTTTGGCCGCTTTGGGGTTTGGCGGTCCTCAACGTTGGGCGCTGCGGCGCGGTTCGGCCAAACGAAGAAGACTTGCGTTTGATTCTGGCACATATTTGGTGAATCTTAAAATGAAAAGTCTGTGGATGTGTGTGTGTGTGTGTGCTAAAAAAAGCAGGTGCATATATTTTAATGAAGACTTTGTGGGTTTAAGCAAAACAACTGTTTACATAGTGTTCTTTTAAAAATTAAACGGAAACCACCAAAAAACACAGAAATTTAGAGAACCTCAAATCTCATGTCACAAGTTGGGGTTGGAAAATGTCACATGTTGCGGTACTAGGCCCTAGGGGTTTATCGAGGCATGGCAAAGCAGCGAAAGGGTGATCAGGTGAGTCAAATTGGTCAGACCTGGTACTAAAGTGGTCTACCCAAAAACCCGCGTAAAGACGGCACTTAATCTCTTGCAGCAATCATGGAAGGACAAGGGACCCTGTCAAGAGGACAAGAGGACGGTCTTCCATAACCCGCCTGTCCACTTCCCTGATTGTTGGAAACCTTCAACTACCCGGAGTCGATTGTTGCTCAGGTGGCCATGCGGTGTCGAAGATCCGTGGACAGGCAACCCGGTCTTTACATGGGAAAGCCCCGGGTGCTTCCCCTTTAGTTTGTCCTTTACACCAGTACCCTAAACCAGCACACCCAAGCAACTACCAGCAGGAACGGATGCCTAAATTCAAGAAGAGAGATGCCATTCGGGCGGAAAGTCGCTTCCACTTCTTGATTTGGAATGTCCCCCTGGTCAATCGATCAGATCCGGTGCGGGTTGCTGAGGTCAGTCCACCGTTCACTGCTTTTTCGTCCCCCTGGAAAAATATGGAAATATCTCCAGTGATAGATTCCCTTCAAGAACCAACAGGAAAAAAATGAAAAGATGCATTCTTAAGAAAAGGGAAGACAGTGCCCTGGGAAGTGTCCTTTGAAAGTCTTGGCCATACTTGCGAAGAGAGATGTACCCTATAGTAGGGTCAAAATGCGGGGAACCCGGTTTTGGTTGGTACCCTAGTGAGCGAGGGGGATTCCTAAGAAACCAGCAAGAAAGGGACACTCTGCAGGAAATCAACTGGTTGGTGGGTATTTTGCCAATGTCCTGTCTCGCTGGTTGGAAAATGAAGGAACCCCAAAAGGGGCCTTTAGCAATCGAACCAAACACTTTGAAAAGCACACCTATGCCAATCATCTAGATCCTCGAAGAAGCCAGCTACAGGAATCTCTACAGCAAATTGGCAGTATACCCTCCAAAAACAGGTTGATTTCCCAAATTGTTGCTGGTCTTAGAGATCCCCCCCTCTCATTTTGACCCTAGGGTACCCAAAGAAAAGGATCCCCTCACCAAGATCCCCTCGTGCCCAAATCGGCCTCCCAAAATTTCACTTGCCCGTCCGCCGCCCCGCTCATCAGCAGCGGCGGAGCCTGAAAAAAGACGGAACAACCGCATTGGCATCGGCTCCCTTGGATGTTCGGCCAAGTAAGTTGTGAGCCGACCTACTAATACCATGTTTAAGTGGCTAGGCAACCCACGAAATCTCGAATTCCCCTGACCACCAACTCAACCCACCCCGTCTCAGCACAAGGCACCGTGACAACTTAGTCGCTTGGCGAATTGAACTGTCTAGTGTTGGTTACGGGACCAAATGAGCGGCTCCGTCTTTTCTTGAGACCCCAAAACAGCTAGCTGTCCTTTTGGTTGCCCCTCAAAACCAACCAAAACGGGGAGGCTCCCCAAAAAGGGGCATACCCGAATAGTGCTTGGTTACTTGTTTGCCGAGTTGAGCAGGGTTCACCAGAGGTCCAACCTACAAACCTCACCCCTTTCATGGAATTATGGGGACCTGCCGAAAAAGAAGAAAAACAAAAAGAAGAAGAAGAAGAAGAAGAAGAAAACAAAGCATCGGCTGAAGCCTTCGGGACGAGAAGGCCCGTTGGACCCTAAGGGTTCTGGACCTTTCGAAGCCTCAAAGAGGCCCTTGCGGTCCCAAGACACTTTGGGGGAACGGGGGAGAGTGGGGGGAGAGGGGGGGAGAGGGGGGGGGAGACGGGGGGAGAGCGGGGGGAGAGGGGGGGAGAGGGGAGGGGGGGGAATGAACCTTAATTCGGGCCCTGCGGACATCACGGGGGATTCATGTCCACTTTGGAACTGGGTTTCCTATTGAAATGCATGGCCAAATAAGCCCCATGATCTGGATTGCGGGATCTTATTTGGGAGGAGGTCTGGATCCCCCGGGACCCCGGGACCCGGGCCGAGGAGATATCCAAGGTGAAGACGGCCCCGGTGTGGCCTTTCGACGGAGATTTCGCGGCGGGCGCTCCGAGGGAAAAAATCGCCGCGCGATGTCCTGGGGTTGCCACCAACGGCGTTTTTCACCAAGCGGTCCCACTTGCCGGTCACACGTAGTGGCCCACAAAGAGCGGCTCGATCCCCATGATCTCAAAGCGGAACTCGTCCACCGAAGCTCATCTGTTCGGTCCGCGAAAGGTTGCCATTGGAGCTCATCTTAGTGTCTAAAGGTGAAAGATCCAAATAGCAGCCCTGGAAATCGGGACAACGAGCGGCTGAAGCAATCTGGCCAACAAATCCAACGGCTTGCCCAACGGCTTGACTCAACTCCCGATTTGCCCCAAATGAAGCTCGGGGTCCGCCGGGCCCGATTTCTTTCGCCGGGTTTTGGCGTGTATTTCGCGAAATCCAACTCTCCTCTAGCTCTTGTCTATTGAAACCAACCTCCTTTTCGCTTGCCTTGGAGGGCAGCCCCAAGCCTGGTGAGAGATTGGGCCAAGGTCTGGAAAAATGGCACGAATGCCAATCCGCCTGTGGCTTTCTTTTGGGACAATCGGAAAGAAACATGAATCCAATCATGGCTTGGCCCTGTCAAAGCGTCGCTTGCTGAAGTCGTTGACACCCACCCGGGAATCTACTTAGGCGGATTTGGTCTTTCAGGTCCTCGTTGCACGGACCTGAACAAAGGTTGTCTTTGACGGGGTTTGGGCTCAAGGGGCGCACCGGCGTGATCACGTCTCCATGTTCTTTCCTAACCCCAGCCAGTCTGGCGTGCTTCTTAAGCGCCGCGGGCTGACACGCTTGTAGACGTTTGGGTGACAGTATCCACTGCTTTCTTCCAGGCGTGTTCCCCAGGCGAATCAGCTGCCGGCTCTGAACAAGATGAACTTGCTTGTCCAATTCTCGAGATGGGGAGGGGGATTGGCTGGAAAGACAGCTCAAGGGTAGCTTGGAGCCAGGTGGTTAGGCTTGGGCTTGGCTTCCTACAAGAGTCAGGGCTTCCTACAAGAGTCAGGGCTTCAAAACCCACTACCAATCCAACCCGAGAGAGCTAAACTCGAGCCAGTTCAGCTCCCAACAATAAGCAGCGAAGAGGGGCTCCGGAGAGGAGCAGCTCCAAAAAACAACAGACATAACTTAACTTTGGTCAGGCAAAAGCTTCGCAGGCATGCAAGAGCAAAAACCAGCTCCCCAAAAAGCACATGCATGGTTTTGGTGAGGCAAAGCTTTGCAGGTGTGCAAGGTCCCAAAAAAGAGGAACTGCGGGAGCAGCAACAGTCCTGGATGCAGAGGTTATGCGGGAGGCTGAGGATGGGAGACGTGCCAGGTGATGCTGAGGATGCTGGGGATGCGGACCCTGCATCACCAGCATCATCCCCATTGAAAGAGGACAAAGAGGCTGGACAAAAGAACCAAGGTGTCGTTTCCCCCTTAGTATCTGGATTTTCGCGCCTCAGCCCATGGCCCCTAACCACTCAAGAGCTACCCGCAGCCGGAAAAGCAAACCCACAAAGCCAAAACCGCGGATGTTGGGACGCGAATCATTCGTAAGTTGAGCAAATGCCAATCAAAATGCTGCAACTCCGAAAACCCCGCTTTTTCTAGGGCAGGCTTGGAAAACATGTCGACTTTTGGCCACGAACTCCATCTGCCTTTTGGAGCAAGAATATTGAAAGCATCCGGGCCTTGCACCATTGGTGGGTCCAACAGAAGACCCCCATAAACTTCTCAAAAAGGACCCAAATGGATGGCTAAAACGAACTAGCCATCTAGGCACGGGTCAAAAATTAAATCATCAGCAACACCGCAAATGTCCAGTCACCCGACCTTTTCCACCCCCCACCCCCCACCCATTTTTTGGGGGAAAAACCCCCAGCGGCCAGCCACCCCAAACCGGGCCCCTTTTACCGTCCGGCCCCGCCTGCGAAGGTGAGGATCGCCTTCAGGAGCTTTTGCTCCAAGGACCAGCAGATGAGGTACCCGTCCTTGACCCCTTCCGGAATGAACCGCTTGGACCCCTTCCGTTTTGGAGATGCCAAAGGAAAAAAGGGGAAGCCACCGGTTGGATAAGTTTTTGGGGTACCCGTCCTAATTGACCAAGCCGCGGGTGTGGGAATGAACCAGTTTTAGAGATTCGCGAAAATTCAGGAATCCAGTAAAAAAATGGGCTTCGTGAGGTCATTCCATTTCTCATTCCCTGCTGAGAACCAGTTCCATTCCTAGCAATTGACCAACGAGCTGTGTTGGTGTTGGCGGAAGGACCCAGTTTTGGAGATGCCCGAAAAAGGGAAGCCACCGGTTGGAGGGATTTCTTGAGCCAATTTTAGAGATTCCCGAAGAAAACAAAAAAAGGGAAGCCAGAGGTTGGATGGGCATCCCATTTCTCGAACACCCTGCCTATAGAACCAGCAAGTCATAAGCGGCTGGCTACTCACTTCCGATCGAGTGGATTGACCGGAAAAAGTCACCGAACTTTTGACTTGTTACTAAAATGGTCCAAACTCAAAGGTTTAGATTCCATGAACTCAGGTGGTGAGTCTAAATAGAATCCGTCCTCTTTTTGAGGCGGGGGGGGGTTGGGGATATGTTCCGTCCAAAGGTGGTGAAGCAATCCCCGCGAAAAGGAATTGGGCACCCTCCCCGTATTGATCAACCAGGGGTTGATTCATCTGGGGTTCCTCGAATACCCGGCCGAATTGTTTAAGGGTGAGATTCCACAGGCTAAGAAAGGATCCCCCCCCTGCCCGTCGCTCGTCTCAGGTTGTTTTGTGTTGGTTCAACAGCCACAGCCATGGGATTCCTAGTAACCTGCCAAAGGGTTCATGAATACCGGCTGAGAATATCCCTTGGGCCTTCTTTCCGGGGGTCGCCACGTAAACATCGCCAGGGACGTGTGGTCAAAACTCCGGTTATCTGTGGGCGATGGCTCCCCCTAGAGTGCCAGGAACCTTTGCAATGGTTATCTAAGCATCTAAAGCCCCGTGAGGTGAGTGACCGTCCCTACCAACCCCAAGAAAGGTCTTGAAACGTATCGCATGGGAATTGCCGGGTTGTGAACCTGGGAGAATATGGGCTGCATATCACCCCCCCCCCTTCAAGGCCACCAACTCTTCAAGGCTACGGGGTCATAGAGATGGCTGCCCCGAACCACCCCAGAGCCTGGGACCCCATAGCTTGCTGTTGAAAAACCAGTTGTGTTGCACACGTCTTTTCCGAAGCAGGGCAGGGTACCTCTTGGGCCCATGTCTTCCGGAAGCAGGCGCGCGCGAGCCGCGAGTTCGGACTGTCCTTGGAGCAGGTGAAGAGGTGCCTGCGGCTTGCCGATCAGAAAGCCGTGATTTGGCGCATGAGAGTTGGAGAGTTGCCACAAATGGTGGCGTTCCTTTTGGCTCCCTCAAAAACCACACAACAGGGGATACCCTCAAAAAAGAACCACGTCTTGGGTGAAGAGGTGCCTGCGGCTTGCTTCTGAGCAAGCCCGTGCGTGATTTGGGGAACGAGTGTGGCCAAAGTCAACCCAGTCTTGGGTTTCCTCGCGGTTTCCCAAACCAAAAGCGGATCCCGCAATTTCTGGGGAATCAAGGTGGGATGGACGGAATCCGTTCGCACCGCTTTGAAACCGTGGTTGAAACCACAACGGTTGTTGGTATTTGCGTTCCGCCTCATTCCGATTGTTTCTGAACGGTGGTGCAAGACTCGCGGATTTCGCAACCATCCGCAGAAGGCTATGCTAAGAAGCCCCATCGGAAGCGCCTAGCCAACATCATACCCGTTTTCTGGTGCAAACCCTGAAAAGAGCCTTTTGGCCCGCGCTTTTTTTGTTGCCGAAACGTCTGGTCAAGCAAAAAGGAGAGGAGGCAGGTTGGCCGTTTCTTGTTCACCGGGCTGTCGGGGTCTTTCACTGCTTTCCCTGTCCGGCCTGCTGTCTGCTGACACGCACACGCTCAGGATCGGCCGATCCTGGGACAAGTTGAAATACTGTTCAAAGCTCTCCCCCAAAACGCCAAAAGGGAAACCATTTCATTTTACCACCTCATAGCACGTTCCAGGCGTCCAAAGACCCAGTCACCAGAAAACAGAAGGACTGGCCGTATGTTGACCGATGAAAACATTGAGTTCAGGCCATTCAAAGCATTGAATCCCCGCTCTGTTCATCGCTCTTCTCAAAAACCACAGGTGTCGGAGCAACCCGCAAGAAGGGTTGAACCCCTCAATCTGGGGAACCTCTTTCGGTGTCAAGTCCATCTTTTGACAGGCAAAGCAAGTTCAGCCCATGTGGGTGTGTCTTAGGAGACTCCCAAAAAATCGGGGGCGTCCCCTTTGTCTTCCGTGTAAAACCAACCAAACTGGGCTGCCCTCAGACCCTGCTAAGCATGGCAACTACCACTAAACCTAACAATGCTAAGGGGATGGCTGGGAGCCACCAAGCCAAAAAGGTGCCTTCAACAAAAAAAAGAGATTCCATCCCCAGACCCGCCACCGCCAACGTCCCTGCGCTCGAAATTCTGCGACGCCGGCATGGCGGCACATGAAGACTGGCGCTCGCCTCTCCTCGTCCTGGCGAATTCGATTCGGCCAATTCGCCCAGGCAAGCCTCTGCTTGCGGTGATACTGTGGATGGTTGCGAAATCCATTTCGCACCACCGTTCAGAAACCCTGGGTTCTGATTCGATTCCCCTGTAAATACCAACAAACGTTATGGTGTCCAATACTTTCAAAGTGGTGCGAACGGATTTCGTCCATCCACAGTAGTCAATGAGTCAACGAAGAAACTAATGAATGGAGAAATGAGTCAATCAATGAAAACACCCAATGAGTCAATCAAGAAACTAACGAATGGACAAGTATAAAGACCGCAGTAAAGACCGAACACCGCCTTGTGTGCTATTGCGAATCCTGTCCCTAAAAGTGTCTCATTGAAAGGGCGCACTTGACCCAGCAACTATTGTGGCCAACGTGCCATATGTCTGTGGGTCAAAACCCTGTACCCCCAGTGAACATCCCAAGCCCCACTAAAATTCGACTAGAATGGGTGGTGCACCTATCCAACAATGGTACCGCTGGTTTTGAACCATGGCCATATTTCACAAAGCCGGGCTCGAAGGGCATCCCCAAGCGACCAGCCCTACGTGGGTTTTCCAAGGGCTTCGGATCCGAAGCAGCAGCAGTTGGCAGCCTTCGTTCCCATAAGAGAACAGTTGGTGTGGTGTGTGTGTGCGTTAATTTAACGGTGTCCAACCAATTTTGTCGCCCCCTTCGAGCATGGGCTTATTTTTGAGTGTCCAACCTTTCTGAGTACTTAAAGCGATCTTTATAGACACTTCTGTATCTGCAAGAACACTTTAAGGACCAAACAAAGAATCGTGGGGTTAACCTTGTTGAGGGGTAGTAGCTTCTTTTAAAGGAACTGGCCCTCGTCTCCAGCACCCCCCAACCACATCCGTTTCACATGTCCAAAATACCAAGTACTGTCCAAAAAGGAGTGGCTCGGGGGGTCCTGGTTGTTTATAGATGTAGTTCAAAGGAAACCCCTCCAAACAAAAACAGTTCTCGCAACCAACTGGGCGAGGGCTCGCAGCATCCACCATGGTCCTGCTTCTTCTCGCGATTCTGCCGCCTCTCCTGCTCCTGTGCATGTATGAAGCCGATATGTTGATGGGTGAGGATGCGTTCAATCGGAGCCAACATCAAACCGAGGGCATTCTCAGGTATGATGATGCGTTTTGGAGTGTTGGTACTACACGGGGCTAAATAATCATTGGAATGGTGTTGTGGAGTACTTAAAAACCAAATTCACAAGGCGTTCATAAGACGAAATGCCTGTAAATATGTATCCCCTTGCATTCTATGTTACATGATGGGTATGGCATGTTGTACCCACGTCAGCATGAATCCAAGAGCTCATCGCGTGCATACCCCCTTGCACGCCCCTTACATTGGGACATGTTCCCAAGGGAACATAGCTATCACCCTCGAAGCCATGGATCAAGTGCAAGGGAAAATGAAGGAAACTCAAGACTGCAAAGGTCTAGGGGTTGATTCCTTTCCCATTCTTTTCAACCATCGTTCTTTTCAAAAACCGGCTGTTTCCCCTGGGCTTTTGATGGTTTCCTGAAAAGAAGGATCCCTGGAAAGAATGGAATTGGAAGGTACCCCTAGAAAAGGGGCAAACAAAAATTGCTGATTCTGGGCAACATGTCGTGGTTTTGCTTTGGGTTCACAGGGTGTTCAGCGACTTTCGGAGGTAGGCCATGATTGGTTGTTTGGTCTCAAAATAGGAATCGGAAGCCCCCAAAGTTGGCGGTGTTCCCTTTGGTCTTCTAGTAAAAGCAACCCAAAAACAGGGGCCAGACCCATAGGTTGTATCAGGGTAACCTCCAAATACCAACGCTGTTTTTAGTTGGTATCATGTTAACCCTTTGCTACAAAAGGAAGTCATACTGGTATTTACCATGGAGAACCCGACTGTTCAAAAAATAGCCTGAGAGAAAGAGGGTACTTGGAGTAGGCATCCAAAAGCGGAGAGCGAATCCAATCGCTCCTTGCTTCTCTTGCGCTGGATGGACTGGACAGTGGACGCCGGCAGCAAGGCCGTGATGTCCTACGCTTCGCTGGGCCCCCAGCAAGCTCGGGCTGCAAAAGTGGCGGGAAAACCCCTTGAAACCAACCTGACGCATGGGGCGAAAAAAACGCCGCCAGTCAAAGCGAAGCCGCGGCTTCTCTTGAAATCAGCTTGAAATGGGTAACTCCAAAAAGGAAACTCCCATGTTTCTAGGGGTACCTTCCAATTCCATTCTTTCCAGGGATCCTTCTTTCTAGAAAACCTCCTCCGGAAACCCAGGGAAAACGGATCCGGTTCTTGGAAAGAACGATGGTTGAAAAGAATGGAAAAGGAGCCAACCCCTAGAATCTTGAAATGGGTTCATGACTCATGGGTTTTCTGGCAAAAATGGCCACCAGAAAAGAGGGCCCGTGGCTTCTCTTAGCGTAACTCCAAAAAGCACACACCCAGATTGCTGATCCCCCGAGGTAAGTCTTCCCAGTCCCGCACCATTCTCCCACCGAAGCCTGCAACTCTTTGCCTCGCCCCAAGGTGAACACGAAGACGTTTTTTGGCCGAAAGTTGTCTTCCATTCCCCGAACAGACAATCCTTGTGCATACCAAAAGGAAAAACGACCATCTGTAAGACAAATGAGACATCGCCTCTCGGTTGATCAACCTTTCCTTTGAAGTTGGGCGGGGACAGGTCTCCCGGTCTCCCCTACATCACCAAAAGCTCATCTAAACGTGGCTGGCAACCCAAAAAGCGACGGCTAGGGATCCCTGCAATTGGCGCTGAGTTTGGGGTAGTCAGCTCTCTGAGCCACGGCAAGCATCTCATTACTGGCCAGTGGGGTCAAATTCTCGCTGTGAAATCTGGGAATCTACAGAAACGAGTGCCAGATTTCGTGGGTGAAAATCCCATCCTAGCATTAGTTTGAAGGTGTGTCCCAGCCAGGTGATATCCAGTCCTGCATCTTGTCCAGAACGTCAGAGTCGCCTGGAAGCTTTCCTGCCAGAGCAGTGACCTGCCAAAAGGTGCGCGATTCGGAGCTGGCAAGGTCAAAGGAAGAACCATGGGGGTATGTGTGGTGGTTGAACCCAACAGTCTCGTAAGCGACCGAATATGGACTTGCCATCATGCATGTACCCTTAGTACCCTTAAGTGTCCTGGTAAGCAATTATATTCAGCTTCCCTCAACAAGGATAGTTTGGAGCCCGGTGGTTTGGTGGTTGGGGAGTGGTTTCCCATCTACACTCTACTAAAAGCAAGGGCTCAAATCCCCAAACTACCAATCTAAACCTACTACCGCTGCAACAGGTGCCACTTATCTTCACCCAAACTGACCAAACAGCACACCCACGACTGCAAATGCCGACAGCGCTTGCTGCCTCGTTTAGCAGGCCTTGCTTCGAGGTCACTTTGTCCAGCTGATTCCTTAAATCGCACACGCAAGAACAAACGTCGCAAGGAAGGGTACAAACAATCATGCACGGCAACTTTGGCAGCGACCGCGCAACTTTGCACACAATGATTCTACCTCAGCTTTGCCCCCGCCCCCCAACCCCAACACAGCATCAATGAACTACAGAATGAACCTGAGAATGTAGCAGAGGTTCAACAGAGATCCCTTTGTGGTTGGCATTTCTGGAAAAATATGAGAAGCCCCAGAGAAGATTGGCCCGATTTCCTTTTCCCCATCCCGGGTATGGCGCCGTCTTGGGGGAGGGCAGTGTTTTGGCACTGCGCCATGGTCAAAACTTGACATGTGGGTATGGGTCAAAATTAAACCAGGAATTGGACCGCAGGTTTTAGTCCATGTTTCCACTGTCCACGGCTCCATGTTGAGGTTACCCTATTCTTCACCCACAGCCACGTGGTCCTGGTCCCCTTTGCATCTGCAACGTTTCTTTTTGTGTTTTGACCGCGCCCCACACACTGTTGTTTTGGACCATCAAGGCCCTGGTCTACAAGTGTGAAGGCAAATTGCATGCCCCGAAAAAGCCATGTGGCATTGTCCAAACAATCCTACCTCGCATGTCGGCAAGAAACAAAGTGGAAAAGGCAAGTGGAGCCAGACGGCGCGTCCTAGATGTGCCCCAAAAGTTTGGGCTTGGTTTTTGCGTGCCTCAGGAAAATCTCAAATAAAACGAAGCCTTGATCGTTGGTTTTGGGTGTTGGGGGTCGTGTTCTTGAAAGTGCACGCCGCAATTCGTACATCCGTCCTGTCCGGAGAGAAAGCGAATGCAACATCTTCTTTCACTCAAGGGCCCAGCATCCGGTTGAAACCCCCTTTTGGTTGGTTTCGAAGGGAAACCAAAAGGAAAACCACCGTTTTGAGGAGTTCCCTAAAAGAAGACACGCACATTTGGGTATGGGTCAAGATTAAACCACCCCAAAATGCATCCCCGGGTTTAGTCAGTAGGTTTCCATTTAGGACACTTAGGGCAGCCCATTTTGGGGTCGCCCTATTTTTAAGCCACACCTGTTTGGTACAGAGCTCTCTCAAAAGCGATCCAAGATTCTGCGCCAAGCTTTCACCAGCCTTCTGCTTCTCCTAGCCCGAACATGCGAAGCAAAAACCACACGGGCAGTTGATCCATTCTTCGAGTTCCGCTACCCCCCAAAGCCACCATAGGGAAAATGGCCATTTCACCACGTAAGGCTTATAAACCCATGTTGTTCCCTTTATTTTTTGCTCTTTTTTTTGTGCGTGTTGTTTCTCGTTTGGAACTGGACACTTCTTGAAAGAAATTGGGGAGACCTCGCTTTCTCTCTTGAAGCGTTGGCCTGCACCCTCCAGCATCCCAACAACAGAGGCTAATTGTGACCTGGCAGCTGCGGGTGCCCCTCTTTTGGTAGCCCCTGACTCAGACAATGGGACCTTTGTACGCATATCCTTGCCTATGTTCCAACTCTCCGTGCTGAAATAAAGCCGAACTGACTTTTGGTTCCGACATTTTAAAGGGTCTGGGAGGCTAGCTCTGGCTCTAAACTTCATGAAACCAGGTCCAAGCTCAAAAAAGAAACAAACACGTTGCAGCGGTGGATATGCTTTTGGAACATGGGTGCCACAAGATATGGTTCTACCATTGAACGGCTGTGTAAGGACAGGGTATGCGTTGCCAAGCTTGAATCCCTTTGCTAGAACCTGTCTGTTCCGTTTAGAACCCTGAGTGGTTCCCTGAATTGGAATTTTGTCCATGGTGATCAAAATCCCGGTCAATACAAGCCATGGTCAAGATTCAGCTGGCAGCTCGAATGACCGCGGATGCTTGCATCATGCCCAAGTGATTGCTTGGTCACTTGTACACCATGTCAACCCATTCATGTCACATGAGCCCGGAAAAAAAAATGTGTCCCATTCCCCAAGACAGCCTGGGAGAATTGCGCAGGCCTGGGTCTTGTGGTTGAAAAAACCTAGGTGTCCCCCCTTTCTTGTTCAGTCGTTCACATCTGATTGGTAGCTTGATAGCTCGGGTGCGCGAAACGAGTTTTTCCTCAGCTGCCCTCTAATTGGTTTGGAGCTTGTGGGTGGTTTCCCATATATCCTCTATACGAACCAGGAGTTCAAATCCCGAAACCAATCCGAATCCAAACCACCGAGCTGCAAATGTTTGCAACATGCTCAGTTTTCTAGCAGATCTTTTTACCCCCCCGAGGGTTATGCTCGCCTGAACAATTATGCAGACCAATCAAGGCTTACCCAAAAAAGTGGTGCACCTGAAGAAAAAACACCCTGCCTCAAGCTTGAGGATGTCTCGCAGCTTTTTCGCCTCGGTGTTTTCTCCAAGCCAAGTTTTCTCGGCAATCCGCGTGTCTCATGTGGCAAGCAGTTCACCCCTAAAAATGGGCTTCGGTGTGGTGGTTTCCCTTTCAGCCCTGCCCCGTCAAAATGGCGGCATTTTCCCATACCCACCACGGAAATGGGGAAGTTCATGTCCATTTACCCACCAGGGAAACGAACATTTTCTCGAAAAGGGCCTGCCTTGGATTCTGGAACCCCCTTTACACATTGGTAAATGCGAGGTTTTCCCCAGGCCCAAGTAGCCCCCCGGATGGCGTGCGGCCGAATCTTGTGGCAAAGGGCCAGCTTCAACAACTCCTTCTCATCCTCCGCGAAAGCAGATTGCTTCTGGTACCTGGCCAGCCAACCCGATGTGAAGGCCATGAGATGGGTGGGAACCCCGGTGGAAAATTGGGGGGATATGACATATGCTACAGCGGTTTGGATGTGATGTTTGTGGATTTCACCTGTTCTCCCCCCTGTTGGCTCTTTCTTAGTAATTGTTTTAGTACTCTTAAACAAAATCCTACAGTCCTACAGATATACATCTATATATCGCGCTCTATATATATATATATATATGTATATGTATATATATCTGGTACCCCGAACAAACTTCCATGTGGCACATGTAACAAACTTCCATCTGTCTCATCTATCCTCAAAGGGGGGGGGGGGGCGGGGCAGGGTAGCGCATATATATATATATATATACACATACACATACACACGCTGCCAGGCGCCTACGTTCGCCGTCGCTCTACCGCGGGGAACAGGCGCTGGCGGGGAGCTCAGGGGCGAAGGCTTGGTTGCTGGCCGACGACGAACCTAGGCGCCTGCGCGTATATGTCTGTGTATACATGTATAAATCAAGATACATATATATATATATATGTACATACATATGTATATATATATATATATGTGTATATATATATATATGTGTGACCGTACATATATATATATATATATATGTATCTACACATCTCTGCATTTGCATAAATTTGGATACGACTTTTTAACAGTGGCTACAGAGTTGTTGTATATCCTATTAAAGCCCCGGGGGGTGGTATGGCTTCATTGATGTCTATGACGATTGTCCACAACTCGCATGGTCATCCTGCAGACAAAGCAAAACACATTTCACAGGTGCTTGACTTCCTGCGCAATGCGCGGGCAACGCGTTTCCCAACCCCACCCTGTCCTGCTATATTGTTTGTTTAGACCTGTTTCAAGGAATGGCTCAGCAGTTTCTGGGACCCTCGATCATGTTCCATGACACCACTCGAGTCGGGCAAGACCAAAAGCAAGGCGTGGTTGTGTGCGCGCACACACACACACGCACGCATGCAAGCATTGCAAAAGGAAGAAAACTGAAAGTAGGAGAGAAGAGAGGAGAAGGCAGAAGAAGAAGAAGAAGAAGCTCAAGTCCCTACGTGATGCTTCTGGAAACCAACAAAAATCAACACCATACAATTTTGAGGTTTCCACGGCAGGTCCCGGTGGTGCTGGAGGGAATTGCACCCCAACTTTGTTGGTCTGGGTAGGTCTCTCAGTGTCCGAGTACGGGCGAAATAAAAACCAAATACAAAGAAAGAAGGATCTCCTTACCCTTAAAACTCCAAGGATTGGGGAAGTTCTCATCTTTTACAGACATGTTTGCCCATGTTACCCAAAAAGTTGAGAAAAAGTTTCGTGTTTTTAAGAGGTCAGCGCCTCCGAACCCCTGAGATTCTCAAACAAGCGCAGCTCGGCGTGGACTCTGCGCGCCAGCTCATCGTGCCTAACCAGACATTGAGGCCCAGGGCGCATCTAAAGTCTAAGGAACTCTATGTGCCAGGAATATCGCACCAAAAGTTTGCCGTTCCTTGTCGTCTAAATTTGGGCCCCCTTGGCATGGGTGTGCCTTCTGGGAAATAGATGGTGCTGGTAGACGATAACCAGGTCAAGGGCGCTCGATTCTTCCATCAAACCAACCGAAAAGGACACCTATGTCCCTTGCCGGCCGTTCCTTCAAGCGGATTTGAACAGGAGAAACGCTGGGATTTCACCCAGAGATTTATGTCCAAACATGAAGGAGGGACTGTTCCAACCATCGACATCAGGCATTTGCTTGTTCGTCTCCTGGGGAAAAAACACATATGTCCAGTAGTAAGTGTCCCTTTAAAATCAAGGCGAAATAGAAACTACTGACGTTGAAAATGGGCTGGCTTCAGAACCCTCGCAGGGGGATTCTCTCGTTGGAAGAATATTTGGGTGGGTCTTTTGGCGGAGACCCAACCAAATTGTGTCTTTCCTTTTGGCAGCCCTTTAACATTCAAGAAAAGGGGTGCCAACTCCAAAATCTCGGTTGCTTTCTGCTAAAAGTTTAACTTTTAGTGGTTTAATGGAAAACCCACTAGTTGGCAAAAAGTTAAAGTCCGAACATCCAAGCAAAATGCACCAAGGAAATGACCGGCCCATTTTAACTGAAGACCTGGAAGCAACTCGACCCCTGAAGCTCGGCCTCAAAGCAGCCAATTCTGCGGGCCAGCTTCAGAGCAGGCCTCAGTCTCCACGAAAAAATCGGCGGTAGTCTCTCTGGAGCCGGAGATGTCTTGAACAATTTTTTGAGCACCACGAAAACTCGGCGGTTTTTGTCACAGATCCGCATCCCCGGCATAACTAGCATCATCTGGATCAGTAGTGCTGATCCGCAACCTTTACAACAAGTTTGTCCCCATGATGCTGGTGATGCTGGGGATGCTAATTAGAAAAATGTCTCCCGGGAGTCAAGCAGGTCTACCCTACTAACATACAAAAGTGTGTCCAGGTCTCAGCTCCAGGCACATGGCCGGCGGTTTTTTCCAGCCGCCCGGCTTTTCACCGTCACCCAGCTAAGCCAAAGGCAAACGGCACGGCGACCAGATATTCGAGATATCCTGAAAAATGGGCGGTTTTCCCGTTGGTCTCACTTTAAACTTTCAACAGTACCCCCCCCCCCTTCACAAATTACCGAAAATGCACTTGTTATGTTTTTTTTTTTTGTGTGTATTGATTTTGTTTGCTCTTTTTGTGGGGGGGGGGATGATGTCAAGCCCTGAAACACCCCCTAGAAAAGCGATGGGATTTGGAGCAGCGGAGCAAAATGCTCCCCAAACCACACGTGCAGCGGTCGCACAGGAACACTGCCCGCAGTGTCGTCCATCGCACGGCCACAGGAGCGTCAGCGGGTCGCACGGTGCAAGCGGGTAGCGGCGAAAAACTCGGGCTTGGCTGTGGTTTGCCGGTTTAAGGAATTCACCTTCTGCTTGCCTGGTGAAAGAGAGTTCAAAGTAACCCACTCTGATAAAGAAATTTATAAGAGTCATGTTGAGAATCTTATCTGGCATCTCCCGGAGCCATTGTGCATACCACAAATGCTCACGTGGATGGGCCCCAGTAGAACTTTCCAAAATCCAGACATGCGTCTTGAAGCTCGCGCCAGCCATGCCGCCGGACCGGGCGGAGGGAACAACTGCCAGCCATCAGTGTAAGCTCCAGGCACCATAGCAGCTAGCCAGGTGGCAGTAGGTCAAAAATGTGTACCCCAAATGGGTTGTGCTGGTAAGTGGAAACATGGACCAAAACCTGCGGTCCCCTGGTGGTTGAATTCTGACCCATACCCAGGTGTTCTTACTTCCAGGTTTTGCCATGCATGGCTTCCCCTGGCTACCTACCAGGAAGGTAAGTGGAAGCCCTGGTCTTTTTTGGAGTGGTATATACTGCCCGCTGTTCCGGTCGAACTCGCCTGCAAGTGCCAACAGCCTGCTCGTATCTCAGGTTTCCTTTAAATGCTCCGTGAAGGGGAAGTGAAGCTAGAAGCGAGGTGAAACAACTTTCATCATTCCCCCACAGATTTCACACGGATTTGTCAACCCAAACCAAAACCAGAAGAAAAAAAAGAAGAAGAAAAACGGAGAAAAACATGAGAAGCATCTCCAACCACGTTCTTCAGGCAAACGTTTCGTTGCGAAAACCCGAGGCAGTGCCTCGGTTCTCAGATCACCTGATCGGTTGCATCAACTCCCCTCCACCTGTCTGCTCGATCTGCTGGCTCTCGCCTCGGACGGGGCGGGCGCTTTCGCATTTCTTCTTCATTTGTTGGCCGCCGCCGATTAGAAGGACACGTTGTGGGATTTGGTGATTGGGTTTGTGGGATTTGGTGATTGGGTTTTAGGATTTGGTGATTGGGTTTTAGGATCTGGTGATTGGGTTTTAGGATTTGGTGATTGGGTTTTAGGATCTGGTGATTGGGTTTTAGGATTTGGGGATTGGGTTTTGGGTTAGATGACGAAAATCCCTTCAGGGCAAACAATGAATGTTATATGGTTTTGAGGTGCTTTTTAAGGATTCGGACTCCCCAAAATGGTATCGGCTTTGCCTTTTGGGTTTCTGTCAAAACCACCCAAAAAGGGCTTGGGAGCTGCTGAAAAGCGTCTAGTCAGAATGCCTTTGGCCCACCCGACTTTTTCCTCGACCAGAATCGGTTTTTCGGCCCAAAGGGTAAAATGATATTCCAAAAAATACGGGTTGTTCAGTTGTTGTGTTCGATGTTGTTTCACTCAGGGCATGGCAGGAGCACCAGATCAATTTGGTGGGAGTTGGGTGCCATCTTCTTCAAACCGGGTTTCGGGGTTGAACACGGGGTGCCACGCTCTCAAACCTTTACAATTCCCGAATTTCACGGGCTGATCCCTTGCAACCCCAAGTTCGGCTGTTTCAACCACTCATCTGCACGCAAGAGTGCCAGGGCCGGAGGGCCCTGTTTTTCCAACCATTGTGCCTTTTGGTCTCGGGAAGGGTTGTGGGATCAAGGGGTTTAGCCCAACTTCTGTGATACTTTTGGAGAACTCTCCCCCTTTGTATGGGAGGCTAGTCTTTGCGAAGCCCTTTCTGTTGCATCACAGAAGTGGATTCGATTTCAACCACAGCCCTGGTCTAGGGTCACAAACGCGAACGGCACGGCATGGCCGGACCCCCGAAAAAGGCCGAGCCATTTGCGTGTGTTGGTTGAGATGGGATTCCCAACATGAGGCTTCCTTTCTTGGTGTCCTCGTTCAACCGTCCAAGAAGGGTGCCCTCAAAAAAAGCACCATTCCATTTCTTCCGTTTGCTTAAGTCCCATGCAAAAAAACGGCCAGAGGTCCAGTAGTGATAGATCCCCTTAGTAAAAGCCACATTTAAAAAGCCGAACAAAAACACCAAAAAAACATATTCTTAACCAACTGGAAAAAAATCTGACTCTGCGGGCAAGCCGTCTTTTTCCTTTGGGCACGCCCCAGCTCACCTTTTCGCTTTGACTCGAACCTTGGCTGAGACAGGCTTCACAGAGCAAAGTGCTGAAATCCCCAGGCCAGAAATCAGGAATCGGTGGATGGTGCAAACCATGACGTTTGTTGGTATTTACAGGGGAATCGAATCAGAAACCAGGGTTTCGGAACGTGAACGGTGGTGCGAGATGGATTTCGTCCGAGACAGAGCCAATTGCAGTGCTTCCAGCTTACCATTAGAGCAAGGGACACCATCATATAAAACCAAGAGGCGAAAACTGGTTTACGCGCATTTGTGGGGTATATAAGAGGAAGCACTGAGAATGGCCTGCATTTGCATCTGGACAAAAACTCATCGCATTTGATTGTGACCTGATCAAAAAGTTGGGCTGCTCAACATGCTGGGTGTTCCTAACCATCCCTTTGCGGTTTCCTTTCGCGGGATTCTGAAGGCTCAACTACCGAGTCTGAGTACAACTGAATGCTTACCTTTGCAACTTCCCAACTCGGCGAATCGAAGACCCAAGTAGCGGCCAATCACTACCAAGAACCCGAAATCCTCAAGCCCAGCAAAAGGATCTCGTGGACCCGAGCCCAGATAAGGTCAGCAAGAACAATAGGCCTCAACCAAGAGGATGTGGTTTGTGCAGATCCCCCTAAGGGGGTTGAAGGTGTTGGTTCCCTCCGCCCAATTCTATTTGTCTAGGCTTACAAAAGGGAAAATGAAACTGTACCAAACAGGGAACCCTGAAAGGGGGGGGATATCTATGTGGTTTCCCTGTACCCCCCCCCCAAAAAAAAATAAAGGACAGCAAAACTTCAAAGACACTCCCAAGACAGAACCACCACACGGGTCCCGCGAGCTGGGTATCGGTAAAGCACCTTTGGAAGGGATAGAAGTCAAGACTACTGCGGGTGGTTGCGAAATCCGTGCGCACCACTCGAAACCATGAAGACCCATTGTGTGTTGCTATTTACAGGGGAATCATCATGCCAGGGTTTCTTAGGTGGTGCAGGATTTTGAGCATCCACAGTATGTACCCCGATATATCCCATGAGCTTTGCACGGCAAATTCTGGCCCCATGCTTTCGCACACACACAAAAAACATGGGTCTGTCCAAAGAAAAAAACATAGCTGCTTCACGGCTGAATAAGTCTTGCAGGGGCCGCGACTAGCCCCCCAAAAGAGAAAACCGGATCCCATTCAATTTGCTGATTCGATAGGCAGGGTCCCTGAGAAACGGAATCCCCAAAACCGGTTCATTTCCAACACCTGGTCTTGGTGATTCCGCACTCGCACCAGCCAGAAAATAAAGCACTTGATCAACCAAACAGGACAACCTGCCGTGAAGGGAACCCCCTTTCTCGAACGCCAAACCTCAGACCCCTCGCGGCGGTTTGACCCAATGGAAAGCACCAGCAAATGACAACTTTTGAAGGGGAAATGTGACCCCTGTCTAAATGGAGGCTTAAAAAGAAGCCGCAAAAGAAGTCCGAGCGCTCAAAATGCTCCTTTCGAGGGCCATCTTGAAAGAGCCGGATTACTATAAAGGGCCTGAAGACTTACAATCATGTGGGAAGTTATCTGCATGTGAAAACCACTGTCAAAGTTGACTTTGATACCCCCCCCCCCAAACAAACAAACAAAAAGTAAAAAAAAAATGAGCCCAGCACTCGTCCAGTTCCCTTGCACTTCAAGATGAAGACCCAGCCCTTCTCAGACTAAAGCCGACCAAGTCAGCCCAATCCGCCGCTTGGCAAGCAGCCCCGTGGCCAAAGCTACCCATGGCAGGCGGAAAGGTCCTGGCCGTTGCCAAGTTCGTAAGTGGCGAGCTCATTGCCAGCTGCACCCCGTTGCCAAGTTTACGTTCATGGAGTTATGCTTTGGGGATTAGACGAATTGTAGTGGTAAATGGGTGCGGCTCAAAATTCAAGAGCTCGGGGTTCGCAGCTTTTAGTCTTGCGGTAAACATGTACCAAGGTGCCATTCTGGGACATTTTTATGGGCCACAGTCAACAGGGGATAATTCCACTGAACGGGGGACGAGTCTGAGTGGATTACAACCGGATGGCTTCCAACAACGCCCAAGTTTTGTCCAGGGGGACCGCCCTGATTAAGTGGGGGGTTGATAGGAGTCATCTGTTCAAACGCCAAAAGCGAGAGATGTTCAAGCGCCTAAATTGAGTTCAAAACGAACCCCCCTGAGTTGATCATGGTGGAGGGATCGCGAGCTATCAGGATTTCTTCACTTTACGGGGGGCGCCCTTGTACGAGCCAATCTGGCTTTCCCTTTGGCTGACTACATCCTCTTAAGTGAATGTGCCCCCAGAGCAACCAACCAACCCAAACCAAACCAACCAGTGTGACTCCATCAAGCTTTGGGGGAACCCATTCCCCTCTCCAACTCCCCCACTTCCTCCCCAAGCCTCAGGTCTTCAACGCCGTCTCGGGCGCCTCAGGCGACCCCTTCTCCAGTCGAGAGAGCTTTGTGAGATCGAATGGGTTCTACTCAGCTTCCCCTGCACAAAAGAATCACCCTCAAGCATGAAACTGGCCCTGAAACCGGCCTTGTTTGAGGTCCAACACCTTCCCATGGAGGTGCGGTTCGACCCATAGGGCTAAAGATCACCTGGTAAATGGCGAGAAACCTCTCGAAACAGCCGGTGCCATATATGTTCCGCTCAAACATGAGGGGTTGGTTCGCCGAATCGCTGGTTTGGAGCTGTGGAGGTTGGGTGGCTTCCACTTTATCTTCAAGAACCAGGGATCAAATCCAAATCCAAACCACCAGAAGCCACCAATTAAGGGATACCTGAACTACCCCACCCCCCCACCCCACCCCGCCCAAAGGCATCAAAAGCTTGGAATGCACCCAACCCGCCCCACGCTCAAACATTGGGCCGAGTCCAAGCTTCCTCCCAAAACATGCTCGCCAACTTGGAGGAATGGGACAGCCCATTCCAACCAAAAAAAACAGAACGCCAGAGTTCTCAGTTTTTTTTCCCGTATTTCTCGCACTCCTCGAAGCAGCAAATACTCGCCTGCGCGACCTCTGGCACGGCCAAGTCCTCTCGAAGCAGAATCAGGTGGTCTTGGGTGGAAGTCACTGGGACTTGTGGAAACCAAACTTCGCCGGTCGAAAATTCATTTGGGGAAGCAAAAGCGGGCACGCTTTATGTCTCATACGGCTCCGGGCCTGAGTCTAGGCTGAGTTCCTAGATAATTGTCGAAGTTCAAGGGCTCGAACCCAGGCTTTAGTGAGGCAGGGTCTGTGCATGTGGTTTTTGCTTGTTCGGTGGTGCAAAGGGAAGCTAAAAGGAAAAACATCCAAGTCCCTTTCTACACATACCCATGAGGCAGCCCATGAGGCACTTTGGGATTTCGAGTCCTTTCTGGGATAGCTGAAGATATAGTTCGCTTTTGCCTTCCGCAAAACACTGGGATAGGGTTCACCCGTTGGAGAATCCCGCCGCCAGGTTTTGTTGAGTCACCTCGTGCCCGGAAATTCCAGTGACATTTCTTTCAAGCAAATGATATACTCTGATCTGGTGCAAATGGCGCAACAAACCTTACATCCGATTGAGCGGATTGGCTACAAAAAGTCTGAACTTTTGTTCGCCACTAAAATTGTCCAAACTCAAAAAGTATAAAGTTCAGGAAGTCAGGGAGTGAGAAACCAAGAAATGCACCAAGCTAAGCATGGTGCACGCGTTGGATCCATGACTTCGGGGTGAATCTGCGCCGAATCCTGTGAAAGCGACGTCAAACCCGCGCATGTCGAATCATGATGCGTCAAGCCGACCGCCCCAGCGGGTCCCGTGTTGGGTTCGTCAAAATCGGGCCAAAAGCGGGTCCGAGTTTCGCCACCTAAGGTCTGGGACTCATACGGGTGGCGTCTGTTTTGAGGATTTGGACCCCCCAAAATGGATTCGGCTTTCCTTTGGGTGTCCCTTTAAAACCACCAAAGAAAGTTGGACTGCCTGGAAATGGTCCACCAGAAGGAACACTATTGGCCCCTAATCGAGCCCATTAGTCGCAAGGAAGCCCCTGTTGGGATTGGGGGATCCTTGACAACCATAGGAATGCCTTGGCCTCAAGTTGAAGCGTCCCCCAAAAAGCGACAAACCCAGCTGGGCTGTCTTCAGACTGCCAAAAGTTTAACTTTTAGCGAGTCAACTGGAAATCCAACCACTAAACACAAAAAAAAAACTGAAGAAGCTATAGAACCGGAGGGCTGCGAAAAATGAAAAAAAGGAAACAAAAACAAAAAAACATATAGCACCAGGAGAGCCAAAACAAAACCAAAAAAAAAACGAGAAAATGCAAAGGCACCGGATGGCTGCGAAGCCCAGCCGAAGCCCAGCTTTTCGGACGCTTTTTTCGGCTCATTCGCTCTCCGTGAGCCGCAGCACCGCCCGCTCCACGTCGCCCCCGCTCGCCAGCAGCGCTTCGCTGGCGGCGCCGGGCTCGAAGCCCATGGCCGCCAGCTGCCTTACCCAAAACACGACGCGAGGCCCTCCAGTAGAGTGTGTTCATGGACGGAAATTCTACTGGACAGCCACCCGTCTGTGGGGTTGATTGAGTCAGAGATTCATGTGTAGCTACTTCGCCTTTGTAAGAGAAGAAGAAGAAAAACGGACTTGCGGCAAGCTTTCCCTAGGTCCTTCAGTAGAGAGGTTTCAATAAGGGTACCAACTCCCCCAAAAAAGCGGAGAGAAAGGGCACCTAGCTGGGGGACCTCGACGAAGAAGAGGCCTCAAACTCGGAGGCCAACAAGCGGCCTTTTCAACCAACCCCGTAGGCAAAAGGAAAAGGAGTCGACACAAGTGGAAATTCAGAACAACCCTAAGGGGGACTAGCAAGAAAAGAGGGGAGGCCAAAAAAGGAGCTCAATTTGCCTGTTGCTTCCCTTTGGCACAACCCAAAAAAAGATAGGGAGGCCCAAAATGGAATTTGGTCTTCCTGTTGGCTCCCTTTAAAATAACCCCATTTACAGGGGTTGACAGAAAGACACAAATGTCCACTGAGAGTATGGGTGTTGGCGGTGATGGGCAAAAAAAGCACCAGTTGGTAGAGGAGGTATGCCAAATTTGGAACCCGAAGACTTGCTGATTCTCAAAGCATGAGGGAATGACGGGTCTCATTAAAACCGCCCACTTTTGAAGGTCAACAAAGGGAAGTTAAACCCAAACATCAAAAAACAAGAATGAGTCAGGGGGGTAGAAAAATAAGGCTTTGGAGGTATGGAGGCGCAACAAAAACTAAAAAGCCTCTGTCTGAAAAGCACAGAACCAGGAAGCAAGGCTCTATGGTCAACATGGGTGGCTCGTCTTGTTTGGGGGACCCCCAAAATGGCTTTGGCTGTCCTTATGGCTTCCCCTTGAAACCCCAAACTGGGTACCCTCAAAACAAGACGCAGCCAAACTAGAGATGGTCATGTCAACTCGCACAAGCCCCGCCAAAGAGCTCACGCATGGGCCAGTCTCACGCACGGGTTTCGCTAAGAGTAAAGCCCGCCATATACATAAGCCATGGCCAAAAAAAATTGGACATAGGGGTACCCCGGTGACGTTGCAGCGTCATTCCCTTGACACTAGATGAACGGTGAATACTGACCATTGCTCATCGGAAATTATATGATTCACAAACCTGAAGCAAAGGAATTCCTGAGTAAAGGAACTTCATCTGGGGTGAGCTCGTTCCCCTCATGTTTTGCGTGGATAGGGTGGATAGGGAGCCTAGGTGTCCCTCAAGCCTAAAAAACAAACATCCTACACAAAAAGATTGCAAAATGGGTGTGTCTGATTTATTGCGTGTTTTTCTCTCTCCTTTTTTGTTTTTGATTCTTTTTGGGGGGGTACAAGCAAGACGAAAGGAAACCGTCCATTGGGGGAGCCTCCCAACTTTGAGACAAACCCAAATAGACTCCAAGTGTCCAGAATCACCCCCCCTCCCTACCCCCAAATTCCACAAAAAAAATCCAGTTCGATCCGGAGGCGCTCACGCGCATTGTCCATAGCCAGGCTCTCCCTGTACTCGGCATCTTGTTCCTCCACCAGGAGTCGCCTTTCCAGTGCCTCCGCCTTATCTTGCAAGCCCATGGATTGAAAATTCAGGAAAATGGCGCAGACCCAAACAAGTGCGTAAATAGGCCTCTCTTTGGGCCTGTGGCCCAGAAAACAGTTTGGATGCGTTGTTTTTCTGGCGGATTTCACCCGTTCTTCCCCCTGTCGGTCCTTTTTAGTATTCTTTTAGTACTCTTTTACTATCCTACGGGGCTGGATCCACCAAAACCGCATCCAAACCGTTTCCTACAGGCGCCCACATTAAAGGAACTCCCGAGGCCGCACCCCCGCCTCGGGCGCAGCGTACCCCGCGCCGGGCGCGGGGCCGTCGCCCTGCGGCCCTGGGTGCGGCAGCGGGAGGCCGTCGCCCAGCCAGGAGTTCATGGCGCGCTCCAGCAGAGTGGGCAGCTTGCCCTCCACCTGGCTGGCCAAAAATCGGTATCTTGGTATCTTGGCATCTTGGTTGCTGTTGCCCCCTCTGCAAAAAGTGTTTCACTTTTTGTGGGCTTACTGAAAACCCCCTTGACTTCCCAACAAGTTAAAGTCTAAAGATCCAACCCAATAGCAGTCAAGGTATATACCGAAAATGGAACCCTGGTGAATGGAAGCATGGACTACATCCTGCGGTTTTCTGGCGCTTTAATTTTGCCTCATACTTACCTGAGTTCAGCTTCCCTTGTGGTTTGGTCAAGGCTTGGAGGTGTGGAGCTTGGGGTCTGTGGTTGAACTGACCGCTTGCGGTACAACAAAGAGGGCTTCCCAAAGACTAACCCCCCGCCCCCCCAAAAGGGGGAGAGTCCCTTGTATCGCAGACGTGGTTGGAGAAACCCCTTGTGATCAACCACAACCCCGTCCCTGAAGGTTAGGTGAGGCTTGGAGTGGAAGATTGGGCTTCACACCAGGAGTTCAGATCCCAAGAGCTACCTGAGTCACGGCAAATCAGATGCCAGACTCTCCGATTTGCACCCCTTGGGACTGCCCACCTACCATTGGCTTTGTTCATCCCATGAATCAGAAAATATGTCCAGTGCTGCAGTCCCTTCAAAACTATTGAAACGAACAGGGGAAGCGAAACAACTCTGAAGAAAGTGTGGAAGATACTCAGCTTCTCTCTAACTGGTGGTTTGGAGCCGAATCGGAGGTTTGGTGCTTAAGGAGGTGCTTTTTCCCATTATTTACCCTCCACGAAAGCCCTCCAAATCCAACTCCAAACCAACTAAGGGTCACCTGCGATACCGTTGGTGTGGGCTTGGGGAGATCGCTCGCTACTGGGGTGCTCGATTCGCCAAGTTGGTAACTTGTTGGTAACCTAGGTCAGAGCCCAGAGCCCACTCAGAAACCTCCTTAGTAAACCCCAGTCACCAGTGGGTTGTATGGCCATTTGGCTAGCCACTTAACTTGGCGAATCGAACATCCAAGCACTATCAAAGTAATCACCGGTAGGTTACAGGGAATCAACCCCCATTGTCTGGCTTTGATAACCCCCGAAAACCGTCGATTTGACCCGGTCAGTCGCAGCCAAACCAAAAATCCCCAAATCCCCAAACCTGAGAATCCGTTGGTGTCAGGTGTGGCGCTTGGCCTCGGGAAAGCAGTGAGAGAGTAGGCTCGATGATAGAGCCCAGCCTTTTGAATTCATCCAAAGTTAGTGTGACTTCATGAACTAATCTTCCAGGTGCACTGTCTTTGTCAGCCAAACCTAAATCCCCAAATCCCCAAATCACCTAACTAAGGGTTACCTGAGAATCCGCTGGTGTCAGCTGCGATGACAAGAATCGCTGGCTATCCCTCAGATCCCCACCTCGGCGGCGTTGAAGCTCTGATAGTCCCGCAACGCCAGGTCCACCGCCAGCGGCGACTCGCTCCAGACCCGTCGGGCGTCCAGCAGTTCTTGCTGGAACCTCGGGTCAAGTCGGGTCAGGCTGGCTCGCAACCGCCCCTCCCCCCCCACCAAAAACATATATCTTATATGTATTGCTTGTATATGTGTGTGGCCCCTGTTG